GCAGCACCTGTAGATGGCACATCAAAGGTTCGCGACTTGGCACCCATAATCTTCGATGCCAGCTCCGACGGTTCTTCAAAAGTGCCGAAGAGTTCAGTGGCCTTGGCACGTTCAACGTCCTTGACCTTTTGGTAATCCAGGAATCGGATGTGCGGGTTGCGCCAGATGACCCAGTATCGATAGTTCTTGAATCATGATAATTTAGCATGGAGTAAAGGAGAGGGGGAAAAAACTATCACTTCAGACACACCTCTTTCCGCGTAACCGGGTTCTCCATTAATACCACATGCGTCAGTCTAGCAAAATTTTGCAACGGGTCGAGATCCGCCAACTCGGCCATGTTGTTCGCCGTGAGCACCAATGTCTCCAGATTCGGTATTGACGTAGCCAAAGTAGGCTGGATGTGGTTCACTCGGTTGCGCGCAATCAACAGTGTTCGTAAACGAGGGAAGAAAGGGAAGTTGGAAAGCGAGGAGAGGTCATTGTCGGTGAAATCGATCGCATCTTGCTCCTACTCCATGATTAGGAAAAAAATCATTCATAATAAGAAGAGAGAAAAGGAAATCGCGGCGTATGGGAAAAAAAGACTCACCTTGGCGACAGCTAAATTCTCAATAGCAGGAATTTTGTGACCTAAATTCGTCTCAAAAAGAGGAAAAAATGATATATCAATGGGTTCCTCACGTAGATTGACACGACGAAAAACAGCAAAAAAAGGAAAGAATAGTAGAAACAGAAAAAGCAAGTGTAGTATCTGTTCTTCTCAGGTAATAAATGACCACCCACCTCTAAGATCTAGCTCTCGCTCCTTTATGGGGTTGATGTATGAGAGGGAATTGTGGATGAGTTCGACGGTCAATCGCATCTTGACGACGTAGTGGGTGACGGCTAGTTGAAAGGCATGCGCTCAGCAGGAAGTCAAATAAAACCAATGCGTCAAGTCCAATCAAGGCCGGTGTGGATCACTGAGAGTTTATCGATTGTCGCTTTTGAGGTATCTCTTGTCTGGAAGTGCAACTTTCGACAAGCTCCAAAGAAACTAGGATGCGGGATGGTCACGTGCCGATTCCTCAAGCTTTCCGCAAACCCTCGGTCAAAAAATATATATATATACATTGACTACGATGTAGGACAGCTTAATTTGAAAATCTCGATGTATGTATGTATATATGTATTAATGGCTGTTTATATAAATTCTATTCCTGCACCTGTGGTAGTGATGTGGTCAGGATAGTATAGCTATGAAAGAACTACCAAGTAATAGTAGTGTATTGCTCGCCTCAATTGATGACGGCCATCCCCACAGAACAACGCCAAAGACACCAGAAGATCAATTCAAATCCAAATCCAGTAACTCCAACCTAAACTCCTTGCTCATAGGACTGCGTTGACAGTCATGCTCATTCAGTCGTCACTCACTGGCTGTAACAGGGGCGACTTGCGGTACGATCTTGTCGGACTGACAGTTCGAGACCGACCACCAGTGGTGGCAGTGGGTACCAAGTGCTCCCTACTCTCGGTTCTGATGACCAAACCTTGCCGGTCCAGCGCATTTGAAGACGGTGCAATGCCCAGCCCAATGCTGGTGCTAGATATATTACCGAGTTCAAACTTCAACCCTGGTGCTTGCGAGCCAAGTGCTGTTCCGGAACCCTTGAGAGAGTGGCGTTTGGAGTGAGGAGGGCTGTAGCCAGTAGGAGTAGTCACATTTTGAGCTTCATCTTCGCTGTCAGTATCGGCGCCAGAGAGCTCAAATTCAGGCCCGCCATCTTCGAGGACGCGTTCGTAGGCAGGCGTGTTTCTTCCAATGAATGGTATTTTAGACCCAACAAATTTCCTGCGAGATCGGGGACCTCCGCGCTTGAAGAAAGTTTGCAGTTTGTGATAAATCCGTAAGCGGCGGCTACGGCCACACAAGAAGAAAAGAACGATGACGATGATAAACACGAATAACAGGACACCAGGGATGCGCCGCGGTGATTCTCCGCCAAAGAGAGCATCATGCCAACTATCACTTTCCTCCACAGATGGGCCTGGTCCTGGCACGAGTTCAACGCTGGGGTATTGAAAATCCTTCGGAATACCGGGTTCGTTGCTTCCGAACCCAACGGGAAGGGCATCCTCTTCGATAGTGGGAACCTGTGATGCAGCATAGAGGATCACCTTGCCAAGGGTCCAGCTGACTTCGGTTGAATCGATTTTATTGACAGCTTGAAATGGATGGACATATCCTTGCGCTTTGCCATGTTCGATGATCTCTTTGGTCCCGTTGTGGCTGGAACTAGGTGTGTCCTCAATACCAACCCGAGGAATTCCAATACCACCGTGGAGAACGTTGATAAGCCAAGATGCCTTGAAGCAAACCTGGTATGCTTTCTCACGATCGACTTTGGAGCCCCATCGTTCTTCCGTTAGACCTTGCTCGATAGCAGCCCATTCTTGGGAGCAAAAGGCATCAACTCGATGTTGATACGTATTGAAGTCGTAAGCCTTGTCTTTATAGCCCATTTCAAAGATTTCGTGGGTTGTGTGCCAGTATTCGCTGATCCCAATAAAATGGTTCACATCAAAGTCAATAGCGGGAACGTGTACTCCATTTAAAAGACACGGCTCGTCAGCGCAAGGCGCATCTTTGGCTAGCAGCGGAAAAGTTTGCCGTACACACTCGTCAAAACGTCCCGTGCCGATCAAGTAAGGAGCAGCGGGCGCATCATCGGTCAGTGGCTGGCCATCCATTGCTGTGCGGAGACCATCGGGAAGACAAGGGTCGGGAATTTCAGTAGCCTTGTCCAAAGATACCGATTCCTGAAGAGCCTCAACATAGCGGCGACGAGCTTCGCGAACACCGAATTCCAACCACGAGGTGACGAAGAGTTGGTAATCCTGGCTGGATCCATCGACATTGCGCAGACGCAATAATTTCAAGTCATTGGCATGTTTTTCGGCCTCAGTAGCGTTCGGAACAAAAGCGATTTGGGCGGACGCGCCACCCATGTCCAGAAAGCCATATGTGTGATGGTCTTTTCCGTGGGCGTGCTCCTCGGGGGAGTCGAAAGAACCCAACAGATAATTGGCAGCAATCCAGCCATATAGGCCTTCTGTTTCGCCTGGGATAACCTGCACATGAACATCGCATTCGGGGAGGAGGAAATCAGAGTTCTCCCGGAAAAAAGAACAGACGTGGTTGAGAATTTGACCGCGCTGGACATCACTCAACAAGCGCATGCCAGCTGTGGCCAAAAGGAAAACAGGTGTGTCTTTGACAGCGGCTTCCGGTACGATATCTAGGGCATGTTGTAATAGCTCGTCGAGATGGTCGGGGCCGACTCGTTCAGGGGTGTCGGCAAAGGTCGATATACCTAAGCGGCAACATGCATTAGTATGCTAGATCGCCATGCACGGTTTTTTGGGGTTCTTTTTCTGCGCTCCTACCAGGGTGAATCTTTTTGGTCCAATCCTCCTTGGTTCCGATCTTGGGCAAAGATTTCAACTCTTGCGGAGTTCCCCCTTGGCGAGCCTTGGAATTATTGAGCCATCGGTAGATATGGACTCGTGTCCCCTAAGAGCGATTAGAAAATGCATGGACATCAACCACAATCGCTTCCATTGTACATACAGACGAGCCCGCGTCCAGGATAACACCATATCTCCCTATATTAAAGACGCATCAGCTTTTATTCTTCTCTTTCCAGTCTCCTTGGCCGTGTCGAGTACTAACATTTTCCCATTTGGTATAGCGATGGTTCGGAATATTAATATTTATCTGCACAGCATGATCTGGAGAAGCGCAGTTCGGAAGCGATAACGAAAGTCCAGATGCGTAGGAGCTTGAGCGAATGTGGGTGGTTTGAGAGCGTGCTGGGGGGTGTCGGAATCGGCCACCACGAGAACCAGCTGCAGGCGGCAGATGAGAGACAGCAACGGTGGTGTCGGTAGCGATCGAGGAGTCTCAGACTGGGGGGTTGTTCCAAACGAGTGGCAGCGGGCAGGAGGTCAAGACGACATCGAAGGCGAAGACATTTGCGCAGGGTAGAAAGAGAAGATAAGAAATCACGGTTTTGTTAGTTTGTCCATGGAGGATGGGAGCGAGCGTCGTAGTCGCACGGGAAGGCGTCGTTAGTCCTGGTGAGCCTAGCACCCTTGTTTATGACCAATACCGGTATCATAACAGCAGCAGCTCCCTGCTATTGGCGGAGCCCGCCAGGCCAGGCCGGAATCGACTCGCGACGTGCCGCTGCTGACGGTTCCGGTACGGGCTGATACGGTATTTGGGAGCCGTGACTGGCCTGCTCGGCCCCCGGCCCCACCCAACCTGCCCGCAAACGGCGGTTGATTGGTGCGCTCCGTCTTGCCTAGTCCTCACGGGCTTTCTTTGCGACGGCACAATCTTATTACTGCGATTAGACTTTCGCATTTAGTATTTATGGTCGTCAAGAATAGGAGAAAGCAATTAATACAGCTGCGGGGGGGAACTGGCCTCCACTGCTGTTGTCATTTTGTAGTGTTGACTTTTTTTGCCGTCGACACCGAGACACGGGCTTGTATATTGCACGAGGAAAAGACACGCGGGAGTGGCCAGGTTTCACAGATGACGTCGGCTGTCATGCTAAACCCAGTAACGATAAAGAAAATCTTAAGAAAAACTTGTGCTCGGTGACGAGTTCCAGGCTGCGAATAACTAGTTACTCCCTAAGTGACGCCAATAGATTAATCCACAAAAGCCCTCCCGCCCCTGGTACAAACGATGTCATACATGCTACGTTCTTCTTTACACAAAAGTAAATCCAATCTCCGTGATTGGCATTAAATACTACCGCACCGTTGCAGACAACGCCGATCAAACACAGATCGCATCCACTACTCGGCCTGTCATCGTGACCGGGTTGGTTCAATACCGAGAACTCCGTGCGCTGCAATCAATAATGCGGCAAGTGGGTCTATCATAGCAGTCTTGTTTTTCCACGGGCAATAAAAAGAAAAAGCGACAAAAAACGAAATCCTGGTTCCAGAGGGGGTCGAACCCTCGACTTTGACGTCGCCATATATGTGATCATTTTGATCATCTATTAGCATCACACTCTAACCAACTGAGTTATGGAACCTTGGTTGATGGCGTGGTGCCATTTTTGACATTAAGTGGAAAACCAGTACCAAATTTCAAATTCCGCTACGGTTTGCGACCCCAAGTAACCGTTATGAAAGTGGCTACGTAACAAACTTGTATACGTAGACACCCTGTACATACCAGAAATGTGGTTACATTGTAGAGTATTAAATGTTATAAATTTTCAACCAATTGGTGTGTTTGGATTTCTTGATACGTTACGAATTAAATGTAACAATATACATGGAAATCGCTTGTGTTATCAGTATTCTAATTACAACTGAAAAGCTGCAGCAAGGCCCAGAGCATTGGGAGACTTGTAAGAAGCTTGTAGCGAGCCCTGTGGGTTGTAATATGTTGGGGAAGCTGCAGTGACATTGAATGCCTGTCTACGCACACTGGTTCAAGTGTTATTTTGGCCGTGGGGGCTCGACGTTGTTGAGAAGCTTGCGGTTGTGTGTATATACATAGTAGGGTACCTATGTAATATTAGTATGTATCTGCAAGAGGGTCACTTCCGCGCGTCTCTGGGTTGTAGGTTTATAAAGTCAAATAATAGATTTTTATTGATCCCACATATTAATCATATAGTAGCAGAATAGCCACAGAGTTCCAGATCTTGTTGCTTAGAAGAAACCCAATGTCAATAACATCCATCGCGACAGCAACCCGAATAACTCGCCTAAAACAATAACGCTCAGTAAAATCCCCAACCAGAAGAGAGGCCTCGAAGACCCGATCTACGCTGTCTTCGTTTCTGCGGACTTTTCAACCACCCCGGGTGAGCCACTGTTGTACGTCACCCCATTGTAGCTATCAAACATGCTCCAGTCTCCTATCTGCTCGTCGACAAACTGTGCCCTGTCCAACCCACCTATTTCCGCGTCTTCGGTCACGCGAAGTTTCATGCCGGGGATAAATTTGATAATGTAAAGGAGAACGCACGAGACGGTGAACGAGTAGCCAGAAATGGCAGCAATTTCAGCCAGCTGCAGGTACACCTGTTTGCCATTCCCATCAATCGCGCCAGGGTAGATGGAACTGCCGTCCAGGGCTGATATCGAAGACGTTGCAAAAATCCCCGTTAAAAAGGCCCCGCAGATTCCACCGATTCCGTGGAGTTTGAAGACCTCCATGCCGTCGTCGATGCCAATCCATTCGTTCAAATTTTGAAGGGAGGAGCAGACAACGGAGGTGAGAAACCCGATCACGGCGGCCAGCCAAACAGAGACATAGCCTGCCGCAGGAGTGATGCCCACCAGACCAGCGATTGCGCCCTCACATGCTCCCACCACGGAAAATTTACCCTTGTATCGTATATAGTCAACAAGAACCCAGCCAAGGACACCAGTGCATGCGGCAGTATTGGTGTTGAAGGCGGCCATCATGGCTCGGACCGACGCGTTCAAAGCAGAGCCTCCCTAGTGAAGATAAGTTAGCATGTAATCACAGCAGCTGTTTATAAAAGCTCACATTGAACCCGAACCATCCAAACCAGATCAACACCGTGCCCAAGAAGACCAACGTCGTGTTGTGTGGCTTTCCGTGCGTGGGATCACCTGAATGCTTACGCTTTCCAAGCACAAAGGCATACGCCAATGCCGCCCAGCCCGACGAAATATGGACAGGACCACCGCCAGCAAAGTCTAGCGCTGGTAGGTTATAGAGCCATCCATTACTACTCCACGTCCAGCATGCAATTGGGCAGTAGACAATTGTTGCCCACCAGAAACTGAAGACCAGAGAGGGAACGATATTCCCCCGCTCAAAAGCACCGCCGACAACAATCATGACCTAGATTGTCGTTAGTCTGAATACAACATGTGGACAGCGAATAATGGAAAGCGGACCGTGCAGGCGCAGAAAAGCAGTTGATAGAGGCAGTACACAATTTCTGGAAGCACAGCAGAGCCAGGAGAAGGAGCAGCAACAACATTCATCATGCCAAAGGACTTGAGGCTACCGATAAACGGGCTGCCTTCTCGATTGAAAGCCAATGAATACCCCCAAAATATCCACTGGAAGGTAGTCCTAAGCCTTGCATGTTAGGAACACCATCTACAGTCATCTTATAATAAAAAAGGCTGGCTTACACTGCAACAACCATCAGAGACTGGAAAAGAAGGGCTAACGCCGATTTTCTGCGAGCCAGGCCGCCATAGAGCAGTTCGATACCGGGAATAATCAACCAAACAATGAACCCGCAAAAGACGATATATGTGTAGTTGAACTCGAATCCAGAAAATTGGGCATTGACGTCAACTTCCAACGGATTGCCTCCATTTGGTGCTGAAGGGCTATACTCGGGCTGTTCGTATGTTAACAGGGAAATAAGCGGAGGACCCCTCGAGATTTACCTACAGCGGTCGACATGGTACCCGACTCTTGCCTCGTATTTTATATGATCTTCTTAAATGCAGTTTGTGTCCCCAAGACTCCTGAACAGCGACAACTCTGTCAGCAGTCCTGGGAAGCTCGACATTAAATTCACGTATCCATGTACCTTTTTGAAGCTTTGACGCAGCCGAGCACTTCCCCAGGTCCAATGACAGTCATGTAAGGGCGCGCCATGTGGTCGGGGGCATTCAACAGTCGTTCTTGGCTTGATAAGAGCTGTACAGCCAAGCCTGTCGGCGGACAGATAAGCAGCAATGTTAGACCGAATGGCGAGACTGGATCAACAGTCTTATCATGATAAGAACCCTGAGGAAATAATCTCCGTTTCCGGCCTAGTTCGTCGTGTTTATTCATAAACTCTGAAGTCATCAAGCTGTTTTCGCTATTTCTAAGTGCCAGATCAATGGCATAGGATAGTTAATCCTCAGAAATGCCGGGCAAAGGAGGCAGGTGGCTCCATGGTGATCACCTGACTTTCCCAGCCCAATAGGACAATCCACCTGATCTTGAAACATCGCGAGCGTTTTCTGAAATTTGTTAGAGATTGATTGAAATTTCACGAAAATGCTGGGCTGTTGCCTCTATTATATGTAATGTAAAATATTTCACGTCTGGTATAATTACTTTCAGCTCGAGGTTGCCTACAAGAGGGTATAGAATACAACAAGAAATAAGATATTGATATGCATAACCACAAAAAACCCCCGCCTGTGAATGTTGATGTTTTTATAAATGCGCCTTCTCTGCAATGGCCGTCCTTCGCTGCTGGCGTGACGACACATTGAGATTCTCTGCACTTGAGCTTGCAGCACTTTGGAATAAGTTTCGCCCAACGGTGTCGGTGATGGTCAGGACACGAGAAGATACTGTAGCGCCGTCTCGGCGATTTTTCCTGTTAATATTGTTAGTTTGTCATTCCTGTGTATACTCGGGGGCCCTAGCTAGCTTACCCTTCTCGACGGGACTGAGCAATTCGTTCGGTGAAATCCCAGAGTCGGCCGCGGTCGAGGAGTTTTCCAGTCTCGGGGTCGCGTTGCGGAGTCCACTCTGGTGCCAGCTTAATGGTGGTTACACCTCGCTGTTCTTTGCTTCGTGCAATCAAGATAATGCCCTCTTCCGCAAAGCGTTGATAGGCATTCTTCAGTGTCTCTTTATTGACAGCTTCAAAGTAAGACAGGTCGCCTTGATGGTATAGCGTTTTTCCAAGCTAAACTGTCTGTTAGCAAATGCGAATTATATGAACATGCTAATACGTGGTTACTAACCAGTTGTGCACTATCCTGTGCCTTGTTTAATCCAACCCAAACATCGGAAGATCCATTCAAAGGAGGGGCGAGTCCCATGAGCGACACGGCTCCTAGCCAGGTGGCCTCGATGAAAGGCCAAATCAAGAAGCAATAGAAATCATAGTTTTCTCGCCCACACTGCCGCTCTGCATCGCTGAGATCAATCGTGACCGGAGAGCCGGATGCATTTCTAGTGACCTTTATAACGTCGTCTTTCTCCAGACCTTGCAGGGACTTTCCAAGGTTCGCAACTAAACCCTCTGGCGGGAAAATGAACTCTCCGCGGAAGAGCTGTTGGGCAATGAGCATAATATTCTTCATCCTGGGATAGCAAACAACATACCTGGGACAAGAACGAAACCTGATCCAAGAGGGCATCGTAAGTGATCTGCTGATTGGCAGGACCACCGCCTTGCTTTATTTTGGTGTACATGGCCGCAGAAACCAGTGCCTCAGGAATAAACAAATGGATAGTCATGTTACGATAGAACGAAAGCTGGAATCGATCAACTGCATAATATGTTGGCTCTGCCAGTCCAGTTACTTCGCGAACGAGCTTAGGCCCAAGGACCTCAAGAGCACGATCGACCACAAGGGAAGTTGGGGCACGATAGAAATGTGCTACACGGCCCCCTTTGGCGCGAACGCGTTCACTGAGCCACTCAACACGACGAACCAACTCTGCCTTTCCAACACCTCTCCCTCTGAGGGTCAACAGGACAGTCCCGACAAGCGCAGTAGGCATCATCACAGAGACGTCGTTGATATCTGACAAAACTCTATAGCCCAGCGCACGTAATACCCGGCCTCGATCGGTGCTGCTTAGAGTGATCCTAGAATCTAAGGATTGAGCTAATCCAATCCGCTGTACTTGTTGGGTGAGGAAGTTCCTAAGGCTCCATGGTTTATGGAATCGCACATCCACTCGACCAAGCTTCAAAGACAGAATGGAAGATTGAGAAAGGAAATTCGTAAGATTTTCCTTTTGCTTTGGCTGTCCTAACAGCTCGCTAATATAAGATCTATAATAAGGACATTAGCAAAATCTGCTACCATGAATACCAGGACTGGACTTACTCCGTCTCAACCACTTTATCGTACTGTGTGCTGACAGGACAGATGATGGTGTCTGAGACTCTCCCTGACAATACACTGTCAACAATAAAGCTCAAAATGCCGAATTTTGGCGAAAGAAGTTTTCCAGTGCGCGATCGACCGCCTTCTATGAAGCACTCAAAGTTGTAGCCTTGTTGCAACAAGACGTCGATATACGCTTGTACCAGAGTAGCATATAGTTGGTCGTCGCCAAAGCTAC